GGTGTCAAGACCTTCTAGTCCAGTGGTTCTCAACCTTCCTAATGCCACGACCCTTTAATACAGTTCCTCATGTTGTGACCCCCAATTTCATTGTTACAAATTGAACATAATTAAAGCATAGCGATTAGTCACAAAAACAATATGTAATTATATATGTGTTTTCCGATGGTCTTAGGCAACCCCTGTGAAAGGGTCGTTCGACCCCCACAGGTTGAGAACCTCTGTTCTAGTCTAAACGAAGAGGCTTCTTGCTGTACCTGCCCTGACTGGTTTCTTGTCTAACTCCTTGGATCCCAGAATAGCATCCCTGCTGAGTTTTCTCAGAACCTTTTATTGCTTCCATTGATGACTCTTCCTGGGCCCCTGAGCACTCACTCTGGGCTGACTTGACCTTGTGACTTTGGGGATGCTGTGCCCTTCTCTGGGCTGCTTTCTTCCCTGTAAGACAAGGATAACAAAAATCACCCCGTGAGAACGCGGTGAGGTCAAAGGGTTGTGCTTCATGCAGCGCGTGGCGTGTCTGTGCCATATACCTAAGGCAGTGTGCCGGCCGACCTCAGGGCACCAGAGCAAGGCCAGTGAGTGATTTTGTTGAAGTTGTGGTCTTGTGGTTTTCTCCTTCATCGCACTCTTTGGCTATGTATGAAGTGGGTGGGACTCGGTCAGATTCTTTCTGAGATCTGTCTGTATGGTAAGAAAGTTGATTGATATCATTGTGTGGTCTGTCCCCTTCCTCATTGATTTCCATTTTAACTCAAATTTTTTCTTATAAACAGTAGTCTCTTTGATTTGGTTCTTCTCTCTCTCTCTCTCTCTCCTTTCCCTTCCTTCCTTCTTTCCTTCCTTCCTTCCTCCCTTCCTCCCTCAGAAGAGTTAGTTCTGTATCTTGAAAATGAAGTGGTTTATGTAATTAACCTTATCCTTATGATTAATTTATTTTTCCTCCTGATGAAAGTGTATTTGTCACTGGCTGGAGGGGGTCAATGGGGGGAAAAAGGGGACATATGTAATACTTTCAACAATAAAAAAAAAAAAAAAAAAAAAGAAAGTATATTTGTCCCACCTGTGTATATTCACTGGAGGGACAGCCTGGTATATGCAGAGGTAGCACAGCTGGTTATGTAAATTAGAAAAGGCTCAGTTTATAATAATACAGACTTTGCTAAGGTCAAGACTTGTAAGGACTAGAGATAATATACATGAAGTGCAAGGCTTGGCACATGTAGTAAGTGCTCAGTAAAAAGGAGTTAAGATGATCATTGTTCTTTTCTCTTTCCGTGTTAAGCTGGACCATCAAGAAGTTCCCAGGGGCTAGACGTTTAAAACATTTCACCTGTAGTTACCCCTGATGCCTATGCAGACTCTCCATGGGGAATGTTCAAAGCAGGTTAGCCTCCCCTTTCGTCTGTCTGGCCACATTGCCTTCCCAGTGTCTTCTCCTGGAAGGTACAGTAGCCCACACAAAACTTTATGGAAGGGACTCTGCACAGGGTCCTTGCAGAAATAGCTACTCGGACCCCTTTGTGCCCCATTCTCCTAGTGGCCCAGGCCCTGCTCAGAAAAGCTCCTGTCTCTTGTTGTTGTTAATCCTCACCCGAGGATATTTTTCCATTGATTTTTAGGGAGAGGGAGACAGAAAGAGAAACATCGATATGAGAGAAACACATTGATTGGTTGCCTCCTGCACCAGCCCTGACCAGGGCCCAGGCCGGGGAGGAGCCTGCAACCAAGGTAGGTGCCCTTGACTGGAATCGAACCTGGGACCCTTTGGTCCGCAGGCCAGCGCTCCTATCTTATAAGTACCGCGCGCTAACCGATTGCGCCACTGGAGCTCCAAGCGCTCCTATCTTGATGATGATTTAGAGATAGCTTTTGTTCCTGGTCCCTTCTCACTCCATAACTTGCTCTCGTAATCTCATCTGCACCCATGACTTCAGTGGCTTCTTATATTCACATGACTCCCAAATTCTTTCTTTGTTCTGACCTGTCCTTTCTTCTGAGTTCCATGCCTGTTTCTCACTGCCTGCTAAATATCTCCACCTGGATACCCCAACCCCAGGTCCCTCAAAGAGGCATCCAAAACAGAACCCCTTTCTCTGCCAGCCCTGCCGCTCTGTGGGTTTTGTTTGTGTGTGTGTGTTTTTTTTCCATTTTGGCTTCTGGCACCTACATCCATTCAGCCTCAGAAATTTGGGAGTCATCTGAGACTCTTCATTCCTCCCCCCATACAACTAATTGGCTTCTTTTTTCTTTTTCTTTTTTAGAGAGAGGGAGAGAAAGAGAAAGATCGATGTGAGAGCAAACATCGATTGGCTACGTCCTGCACACCCCCTACCGGGGGATCCAGCCTGCAACCCAGGCATGTGCCCTGACTGGGAATCGAAGGGGCAATCTTTTGGTGCACAGGATGACACCCTACCAACCGAGCCACACCGGCCAGGGCTTCCTCTCCATTCTTAATGCATTTATTATTTCTGTTTGTAGCAAGTAGTCTCCTAACTGGCTTTCCTGCCTTTGTTTTCCTCTTCTTTCAATTCACCGCCTATAACAGTAAACTGTCTAAAAGGCAATTCTAACATTGTCAGACC